AGAGAGGAGACCTTCAACGGGCAGGCTTTGGCCCAGCTCCCCTCCTCTACAGCCTCGAGAGAATGTGCCCACCTCAGGGATGAGGGACCTTCAGCCCTGCGGAGCAGGACAACATCTGGTCACAGCTCCTGAAACTCTGGGACAGGTTCTGATCAATGCTGGAGTGGAGAGGGGCCAGGAGGATGAAGGGAAGGGAGTGTAAGACCCGGACCCCAAGTCTCCTCAGCCACAGCCTCTCTTCACCTTTACCCATTTAACAGATGTTTATTGAGCACCTACAAGATGCCGGGAATGTCTCAGAGCAGGGAATGTAGGGCTTTCTTTTCTTTTAAAAGGTCCATGGCCTAGTACAGCGGTTCTCAACCTGTGGGTCGCGACCCCTTTGGTGGTCGAACGACCCTTTCACAGGGGTCGCCTAAGACCATCCTGCATATCAGATATTTACATTACGATTCATAACAGTAGAAACATTACAGTTATGAAGTAACAACGAAAATAATTTTATGGTTGGGTCACAACATGAGGAACTGTATTTAAAGGGCCAGAAGGTTGAGAACCACTGGCCTAGTGAGAGAGAAAGACAGGACCTCGGGAACTATAAGATGACGTTTGTAGAAGCAGGCCCAGAGCACAGGATGTTATGTGCAGAGTGCAGATGTGATTTCGGGATACAGATGCCTGGCCAGTGAAGACCAACCCAAAATTAACGTCCGTGCACAGCACTTGCACCGGACAAGTCCACTGAAGAGCTACAATGACGTGGGCGGGAAGGTGCAGTCAAGACGGCAGGAAGGGGCTTTGATTTGATTTACTGACTTGGATTCAGGGCTTTGGCCCCACCTGCTCAGACAGGTGTTCTAGTCCACCTGGTGGGGGTATGCAGGGAGCATGCCTGCTCCTTCCAGGTACCCCTAGGGGAGGACTTGCCCTCTTTCCGGGGGCTATATTAACTCCAGAATCACCAGGTTTCTTTTTCTACCTGCCTGTGTCCTGCAGGGTCTGTCTCTAAGAAAGTGGTTCTACGGGGAACAGGTGATAGGAAAAGAAATTGTTCCTAATTCTACCCATGAGGCCACTAAGAACAAATATAACCCTCTTCTACGTGGCGCATCTGTGTGTACTTGAAAACACCTGTCATATGCCTCCTGCTGCTCCCTAGTCATCACTTCTCCAGACTAAACATCCTTAATCCTTCCTCGGAGTGACATATTTTCAAGCCCACCCACCATTCTGATCACTTTTTTCTCACTTTCATACTTGTATTGTACCTTTCTTCAAATGTGAAGCCTATAACTGAACATAATAAGCCAGGTGTAATCTGAGCAATATAGAGTAGAATAGGAATATCACCTCCCTTGTTTTCTCGCTCATATTTCTAATAATACAATCAAAGATAGAATTTGCTCTTTGACAGCCACATTATAACAGTGAGTCTTGTAACGCTTACTATAAGCTCAAACCCTAAGTTGTTGTTTTTTATTTCTGCTGCTAAACCACATCTTCCCCTCTTATGTTCATACACTTACTTTCTGGGCCAAAGTGACCACCTAGGAAGTGGCAGAAAAAAATTAGCAGACATGTTCCTGGCTTTGGGCCCTTACTGATACACCTGTAGGGAGAGGCCCTCCTAGCTCAACCCGTGGAACAGAGCGAGAGGCTGAGAGTGAGGGGTGATGAAGGCTCCAGTCTGTTGGCAGCCCAAAGGGCACCCTCCCCCACACCTCCAGGCCATGGGCTCTGATGTTCCCAGCAGGTTCTGGGAACAAGCTGTCTCCTCCTGTCACACTACCCATCCTGTTTCACCCTGAGAGGTCACGATGCCCACTCCAAATGGGCTCTGGACACCTCAGTAGCTTCTCTTTCTGTGCCCCTCCCCAGGATGAAGAACTGACTGCACAGGCCTTGATGGAGGGCAGTGGGCACCCGTGCTAGGCATGAAGGCGGAGCTGCAAGATTAGAAGAGCTTATAACCAGAATTTAGTCAGGAGGGACTGGTAGGTAACTAATGCTAATCTGGTGTTAGAACACTTGGGAGAGTTTGCAATCTTTTGCCTGTTTCCTCAACAGCTAAAGATGTGACAGTAACATATGGGCTTGGAAGTCAGAGTAGAGGGAATGGCAGACCAGAGAGGCCCGTGGGACCCAAAGATCTTCTCACAGTAGAGAATCCGTGGCTAGGTCGTGTTGAGGGAGAGAAGGAATGAGGATCGAGGGATATGCACAGGACATCAAACCAAAACAAGAAGCCCAAGATTAGAGAAAGTGAGCAAACACCGTGACATGGCCAGCTCCTGAGTGGAGACGCAGCCCTGTGCTCCAGCCCAGCCACCTGCCCTGCCCCCTCCACTCCTCTCTGCCCTCACACTCTCCCTCCTCCCACAGGCATGCGATCCTTGAAAGAGCCTGGGAAACGCCCTTGGTAGATGTGGGGGAAGGGAGGACATCTAGAGCCTTTGCCTCTTAAGTGACTTTGGAACAAAGAGCCAGATTGAGGGATGCGGGGACAGGAGGCTACCAGCAAAGTCACTCTGCTATGCTTCCCACCCCCGCCCCCAGACCCACCATACAAACTAGTATGTTTGGACCAGTCCACAGAGCATCCTCCTGGACCTCGGTGAATCAGGCTGAGGGGAAAGTAAACAATAATCACAATAACTCCGGGCAGGTGAGTCTGTCCTGGCTGCGTTATTGTTTGTTTCCATTTTCAAACAAATGTAGAGGTCAAGATGACCCCTGGAGGGCGAAGCATAGGACCAGCAGGACTTCTGCTTGTTTTCCACTCTAGGTGCCACTGCTGCCCTCCCTTTACCGCACATTTGGGGGCAGTCATATCTCTAGCAACTGGCCTTCTGCCTCTAGTCCCACCTTGGAGCACAGTGAGCTTCTGAAGCAGGTGAGGGCTCCTTCATCAGGGTTTCCATTCCAGCGGGTCCTAACCCACCTCCAGGCCTCCCTCCTCTGTCCAGGGCCAACTCAAATGCCGCCTTCTCTGTGGGACCTTCCCTGAACCTCAGAGACGAAAGTTGACATAGCCTTTTGGGGGAGTATTCAGAGTGTTTTTCTTATGGGCCCGTCTTGATATCTGTGCATGTATATGAATATCTAAGTTGGGAGTTCCTAAAGGGTAGAGAGCTCACGCACCTGGTGCACGGTTGAGTGAGGTGGAATGAGGCGGGAGGGAGAGCGTGTATCACTGAATGAATGAATGAATGAATGAATGAGTGAGTGAATGAATTACAGGAAGGGAGAGAGGGCTGGACAAGGATCCAGGGTCTCTAACTCACAAGTATATGTGTATCGTCTTACCAGGGACTCTGCTTCTCTCTCTACATTCCTAATTGGAAAAAGGGAGAACTGAGGCTACACTAAGACAATTTGTGTCCAGTTGGCAGCAAAATTGTGTGTCCTGACAGTTTGGGGAGGAGTCCCCACACTGAAGAAAGCTGTCACCCAGGAAATCTCCCTCCCCTCATCCTCCATGGAGCCTTTTCTTCTTCCGGAAAAAGGTGCCGAATGCCCCAGACAAGTGGGAGGCCTCCGGAACCAGGGAAGGCAACATGGAGAGTTTGTTATCAAGAGCCCTTAAGAGCAGGTCAGGAGGTCCAGGTAGACTAGAATCGTGACCCTGCATGAACGTGAGACAGAAATTCTCTTCTCAGGGCCTCAGTTTCCCACCTGTTTGGGAAGAGGTTTGGATGAGCAGATTTCTAAAGAGATTCTGAGCAGTTAGGATCAACATCTATGAAGGGCTGTGGGACAGCCTCAGTTTCCCACCTGTTTGGTAAGAGGTTTGGATGAGCAGATTTCTAAAGAGCAGTTAGGATCAACATCTATGAAGGGCTGTGGGACAGGACTGCACCAAGATGCCCTCTGGACCAGGCCTTCCATCCCTCCCCTTCCTGGAGAAGGGAGGCATCTACCTTTGCTGTGCTCCAGGTTCGCCTTGAGAACACGTGTTAATCAGGCTAGGATTCAGGTGAAGTGCACTACATGAGAGGAGGCTTCCATTTCCCTTACCTTCCTGCCAGAGGGCGAGTGGGAAGGGGGGAGCAGGCGCAGGGAAGAGGGGGCTGGGATGGGCACAGTTGAGCAACTTCCCCTCACAAAGAGTGGTCTCTTCCCCACCCCGGGAATGGAAGGAAAGCAAGTTGCAAAGTCTCTTGGGTTGCAAAAGCCCCTTGCTTCTCATGGGAGAGCAGCAAACTCAGTCTGTGCTTCATATCAGAATAACCGGGAGGTGGGCCTCTGCTGAGACCCTGGGGCCTCTTTCTATGGCTGTCCTGGGATGGGCTGGCTTCCTGCGGTGCACGGCATAGCGCTAAGAAACGGGGTCACGGCTGAAAGCTCAAAGGACCATGGATTCCTGCTGCCTACACACAGGTATTCACACACACACACACACACACACACACACACACACAGTAGCGCTCATGAATAAAATATTTGAAAAATAAATTAAATAGGGGTCAAATTTATAGAACAGAAGATAGCATACTCTTTGAGCTACAGAATTCACCACAGTCTATATCCAAAGAGCTAAGCAGACAAGTCCAGCAAACCTTGAAGACCTCAAAAAGCTACCAATATACACAGAAGACTGAGTTGACTTTTTTTCTCTTTCTTGCACATTAAATCCAATAGCAACTAACTACTCCCGCTTCTACCAGCCCAGATAAGATCTCAGCATTCCCTTCTTTCCTGCAGGTCTTCCAGAGGCCAAAGCTTCCGTGGCCAGCACTCAGATAACCTGCAGACTCCCCAGTGATGCAGACCTCACCTCCCTTTCCTCCCTTCCTGGTGTTCCCAGAACAATAAGAAAGTAACATTAGTTTGCAGAGCGGCCTCGCCATTCAGGGCCTCCTGGGGTGTGGGTCCTGAGAGGCGGGGCCAGCAGCCCGGGCCCTCTCTCCATTGGTTGGGCCCAGCAGGTAACCCGAAGCTTTGCTGCGAGGTGCATAAATAAAGAGTGAAACTAGTGCCACCTCCTTGAAAGGGGCTGAGTGCTTCTTCTTCCCCCTCGCCTTGGAAAAACCAGTTTCTCTCTCTTTCATTGTCTGTTACCAACTTCTATTCCAAAACTTCAACGGAACCCCAACCATATTCCAAACTGTCTTTCTCCAGCTACCTTTAGCCCCCTCCACTCCAACTCACTTTCCTCTGCTCTCATATGCCTTCTCCCTAAAGAGAGAATGGCTTTGGGACCCACCCCTACCTTCCCTCAGGAGCCATTTCTGTTCTGCACGGGCCTGCAGCACTGGACACTTTATACAGTAAGTAGTTCTCCTTTCTCATTTCCTGTCCTCAAACCTTAGGAGTGGAAGAACATTCCAAGATTTGGAATTCCTTTTCTTTCTCTCATGCGCGTGAGCCTGCAGCCTCCCCTTTGCTTGAGTTATCTTTTGAAAAATCTATTGATTGTTTCGAATCAAGCTCATAATAGGCCCTGCTGTGTTGAAGGTGCAGACACTCATACCTACAGGTGAGTCCGAAATCTCTGGATCTGCGGGGCTTTGGGGAAATAACGCTGAGAGGCTGCCTCCCCAGAATCACTGGGCAGGAAGAGCGGAGGATGGACGGTGGAAAAGGCCACATTCACTGGAAGTGAATCACCACCTTCTCCCAGGCGAATGTGGCTGACCCTGCTGTTCTAACCAAACCTCCAGCTCGCTCGGGTTGTCTTGGGGATTTCCACTGATCCCAGGCAATAAAGCTCACCCATAATAGGAGCTGGCGAGGAACGGGGGTGCTGAGCAGTTAGGCACCAGGACTGCAGCTCTGATTCCTGGAGATTGACACAACACGAGGAGCTGGGGGTGGGCGGGCTTTTCAGTCCTGGGCTGGAAGGTGCGGTGCTAACAGGAAATCAAGGACCTGGTTCCCTTCTTTGCTTCTCGTGTCCAAGTTGGTTTTATTAGGAAGCCATTTGAGGCAAGTCCTGAGGGCAGCTGGGGGCAGGAAAGCAGTCACTGAATGAACTTACTCTATAAGCCAAACACTTGCCTGATTTGCTTCTTGTGCCCAAACCCTCCTCTGCAAATGGCCAAGGAGAGGTCATTGGGGCATCACGTTGGCAAAGGCATGGTGGACAGAAGAATCTTGAACTCTGGGCGAGGGGTCCAGAGTGCTCAAGGCTCCTGATACAGCTCTGTCTGTAGCCACTGAAGGTCTGCAGGGTGAGGGGAGGGCGCTAGGAAAGGGCCTGCTTTGTCTGGGGTCTCTAAATAACACCAGTGCTACCTATTATCTGCATTGTCTTTCACAACGTGCTTTTACAGACACGGGGCCTCCGGAGTACCCATCCTGCAGGCCGAGGACCCCACGTGAAGGCGAGGCGCTCCGCACACTCCCACCGAGGACTTGAAGAATCTGGTGGGCCATCCATGGTGGGAGGATGAGAGTGGGGTAAGGAGGGTCTGCAGGGAGACACACTGGCCCCTTTGCTTCCAAGTTGGGCTAAAATCCAAAGAGAATGCAAAGAATCCTCCCATCCCAGAACTCTTTCCTCCCACCCTCTCCTGCCATGGTTTATCAGAGCCAAACGGGAGGTCTCTAAAATAGGCCAAAGGCATGGCAGGACTCTGTGGTGTGGACCATTCACAAGCAGGCCGCGTTTCTCTCATGACTGAACTGAGGATTCATGAGGAAGGCCGAGTGGAGGAGGATGGGCCAGCCTTCTTCCTCTCAGTACCCACGGACAGCGGGGCTCTTCCTCGGCCATGGCTAGGACCCCCAGCCCTTGCTGAGGAGTCTTTTTCAGAGGCCCGATGCCCGGGGCTGGGGAGGGTGGATGTCAGGGGAGGAGCCACGTTCTAAGCTGCTGCCTCCCAGCATCGGGTCAGGACAAGCCCCAGGAAGAAAGTATTCCAAACAACAGGGCGGATCTGCCCTAACTACCCAGTGTGCATGTTGGTGCTGAGAACAGCCTTTTATGGGGTTTGCACTGAGCCACGGGCATGTCTGAACACAGCAAGGAAGAGGCCCGGCAGCAGCCACACAGCCACCGGTTCGTGGGCACTTCTCTTCGGAGGGTGGGGAGGCCTCAGAGCCCTAGTTAATTCAGTCTCTGAGAGCCAGGCCATCTCCTCCCTCCCCACCGCCCCCAACCCTATGCCTCCAAAAGGTGAGGTTGTGCCATTTCCAAACAGACTTAGGAAAGGATGTGGGGCCACCAGAAAGCAGATGTCCTGGGTAAGTCTACATCCAGCAGCGAGACCCAGGAGTCTCACCCTCCTCTGGCCCGCACCCCCAGCCCAGCCGGGGTCCTGGTCCCTCCCGAGCTCCTCAGCCCCTCCTCCTGATTGCCCGCTGGCAGATGGGCCTGCCAAGTGCTGTCCACCCTCACTGGACAGTGCATTCTGGAGAGGAGGCCCCGTCCCTGCATCCCCTCACCTTGGTGAGCAGGTCCATAGGTGATGGGTTTTTCTAAAGTAACTTCAGAACGCCTGACTGCCACACCGAGCTCAGTCACATCACACACAGGGGGACACAGACAAAGGGGGGAGGTGGCCAGCTCCCCAGAGAGGGAGACAGAGAAGTTCCCCCTGGATATGCCTGCATGGCTGCCTCAGGGGTGAGAAACAGCAGATGCCAGCCCCACAGCCCAGTCCGCACTCAGCACTGTCCACCGGTGCTGCAGACACAGGGTGGCTTGCTGAGCCTGCTCTCTACAGCCCGTGGAAGGCGGTGATCCTGGGAGGGCAGAGCGTATCCAGGTCCCCCACATCTCCCACATCTGCCAGTCAAAGATCCCGAAGGCCTGTGACCAGGCAGTAACCCTGCGTGCAGAGGCTGGGGATGACGTGCAGCCCACCCTCTGAGAAAAAGACCCCCAGACGATCCATGTTTCTCTTGTCCTTCATTCCACCGGAGTCTGTTTCATACCCAACCAGATTTCAGTGGAGTGAAGTTCAGGAGGCATGGAGCTGACGCCACAGCCGCAGCAGCCCCAACAGTGGCAGCGGGGAAAGCTCTGACTTAGAAAAGGGAACCCCAGGGAGAGATGGGATAGAGGAGGAGACCCTGGAGCGAGTGTCTTCTGCAGAGGGGACGGGTGTAGGCGGACTGGGAACAGCACCACAGATAGGAACCGCCTTCTAAATGCCTGCAACGGGAATGTGTGTTTTCTGTAACTTACAAACATTAAAAAGTTGTCCGTCTGCTGGAAAGCCGCGTCTGTGCTTCATGCTGTTGGATGCTGACTCCCTGACCGAAGTCACCTCCCCTTTGGGTTAAAGGGGAGGCCTGAGGGGGAACAATCTATCAGCCCCGTCTGTCCTTGGACTTCCAGGCAGGTGGCTGGAACCTGACTTGCAATCAGCAAGGAGCCCCGCTGCCCCAGCCTCCCCGCCTGCGGTGCCAGCAGGACCTGCAGAATGGGGTAGAAAACTCCCGTAAGATGTGTTTAAACCCACTTACATCGTAACAAAGTAAATGTAAATAAGACCTAAGTGAAGGCAGGTGGCAGATATTTCAGACGCTGTACAAGATGTATCTCGGAGGGAGTGGGTGTCAATTCTGCAAAGATTAACATGCTTGAACACATTTGACACACACAAAAAAATGCCAGATCCAACATTAATCCTTTATCAATCGTAATTGCCTTTATATGGGTCTCGTCTCCCCACGATACATGCTGAACACACCAGGCTCGGTAGAAATCTGGGAGGAAAAACACAAATAATACGCCTCACCTGTCAGGGCCTGTGATTTGCTTTGATGGATTTGACACTGATTTCCGTGGCTTTACAAGCCTGTGTGATTTTTTTAAAAAACTCCACCTCTCTCCTTTAGGGAAGGAGAAGGTTGTGGGGAGGTTGAAGGGGGGGGGGCGGGGTAGGGGAGGCCCCTAAGTCCTAAGGAAGCCCGCAGTTATGGAGGGGGGATGCCCAAGGCTTTCTCTTAATTGCCCTTTCCTTAGGTAAACAGGGTCTCCTTCAAGGAGCCAGTCTGGCTAAGGAGGCAAGCTCTGAACAAAGCCTGGCCCTGCTGAGTCTTCAGAAAAACCGGTTTTCGCCTCCAGAATGTGCCCCAGGCGGCAAAACTCAATAGAGCCCCCTGGCCTGGCAAAGGGTGTTTTTCTTAGGAGCTCCCTATTAAGGAGATTCCGGCTTTGTGGGGGCATAACCTGTCACTTGGGTATCTGAGTCCCTCCCCCAGCCAGTGACCTCTGAGGAGAGGGGCCCCTCTACCCTCCCCCCCTCCTCCCTGGGACTCTTTCCCTGAGGAATTAAAGGCTCCCAGACCGATGTCGGAGCCAATAAGAAAAAGCATTTCTCCAAAATGTTTTTCTTCTTCAAGTTAACACAGATTCAAAACCTGTCCCTGTCACCCTCACCCGTTCATTCAGAGGCCCACGGATAACAAAAGGGTGAGAAGGACAAGCCACGGGCATTAAAAAAATAAATGTTTACCCGGCCTTGCCGGTATGTCTCAGTGGTTGAGCATGACCTATGAACCAGGAGGTCACGTTCGATTCCTGGGTTGGGGGCTTGATCCCCAGTGTGGGGAGTGCAGGAGGCAGCCGATCAATGATACTCATCATTGATGTTGCTATCTCTCTCCCCCTCTCCCTTCCTCTCTGAAATCAATAAAAATATATTTTTTAAAAATGTTTACCCATAAAAATGATGCAGTAAAGGGGGTTGGGAGGGGGCTGGAGTACTTAGGTAACTAATCAGCACACACCCTTCATTTGGGGCTCTGCAGGAACCCAAAGGCACAAAGCAGAAGGGAGGCAGCACTTCCATTGGCAGCCTGATCTGAGCCCTATGACCTGGAGTCTTTTTAATGGAAGAAGTGTGTGTGTGTGTGTGTGTGTGTGTGAGAGAGAGAGAGAGAGAGAGAGAGAGAGAGAGAGAGAGAGACACGACCTGGCTCGGGTGGGGCTGGACCCAGCAATGGTGACCTGAGGGCTAACTGTCAGAGGCTAGCCAGGACATGCCACTAGGACTACAGGGGGCTGTACCTGACGCGCTGGTGGGCTCCCACACCCCAAATCCACTGCAGTGCCATCTATACAGCAGGATATGTGGCTTGTATTTCTGGCTCCTGTTCTGGACTGCCCACCGCCCACTGTCTCCCGCCCCGTTGCAAGGGAGACAACCCCGAGTGCAGCCCAGAGCGGGCGGCCAGGGAAGCTGGTGTGTGTTGAGCGCTGGAATAAATGGCCCCAACCCCCTTCCCCATCCAACCCCCACTGTTTTATGTCTCATATCTTTATGGCAAAGCACGGCCCGCCAAAACACGGGACCAAGAAAATGATTTCATCAAAATTCTCTTGCAACAACAACAACAAATAAGATCGCCCTGCTTCCTTTATGCATGATCTTTTATTGAGGCGAAAGGCAAATATCATTGAGCCAAACCTGAATAGACAAACATACACAACGGCTGGTAATTTAATATTTTGTGCTAATGGTATACACTGTAGATACAAGCCCAGAGGAGTGAATTACAACCCTATCAATAATACATCGCGTCTGGGCTCCGGGTTCCCACTTCAGGAGAAAATGTGTATTGGCAAAAGGCTCTCCGAATATTAAAAGCCATGAATATAATGAGGCTGTGGGTACAGAAGCTAGACAGGCTCCTAGGACTGTATTCTGGTCTTTGTGATCAAGGTCCTTTACTAGGGAAACAGCCCACAGTGAAGCTTCTAAAACCGGTGCTGAATGAAGACATCGAGTCCACATTCCGCACGGGCCTCCAGTGGAGCTGTAATCACAGGCAACGGACAGTCAGGGCACTGGTTTCCAGGCCACTCAGAGCACTGCCTCCATCTGGAGCCTCAGGTCTATGGTCAATGTCTAAGGTCTGTTGGGGTGACAACAGTGATGGACAAGGGCCTGCAGAGAGCCCCAGTGCAGACCGCAATGTCCAAGAGCAAAACCACATGAGCCACCCCGGCCACGCCCATATGGCTTTTTCAATCAGAGTTCCCTCTCACCCTGATCCCAAGCCCAGCTTTTCCAATCGCAGGAGGTCCTTCAACAGAAAGGAAGAGGGGAGGGAGGACTGATGGCAGACAAGGAGCCAACCACCTGCAAAGAATAACATGTCTTCTGGAATTTAAAATGTCCCCAGGTTTTAAAAGTCAGTGGATCCAAATTCCCTTCCTCTTCCCACCAGGAGAAGCAAATGACAACCTTAACGGAGGGTGGGGAGGAAGTATTTCTGTCTTAGTAATAGTACTATCATAGGAGAAATAGTTTACTATTTCCAAGACAGCTGGTTAGTGCCCCAACCACACATTGTTTCCTGTCCTTGACCTCCCTAGTTAAGGAGGTACTGAGGAATCAGATGAGCCAGCTAGCTCCATACCTTCCATATGGCTTTGTCTTTCTTTTTAAAAAACATGTTTATTGATTTTTTTTAGAGAGAGGAAGGGAGAGGGAGAGAGAGAAACACGGCTGAGAAAAAAACATCCATCAGCTGTCTCCTGCACGCCCCCTACTGGGGATCAAGACATGTGCCCCAACCGGGAATCGAACTGGGGACCTCTTGGTGCATGGATCAATGCTCAACCACTGAGCCACACCGGCCACGCCCATATGGCTTTTTCAATCAGAAGCTGGAGGAAGGAGAACCCATAGAGGATTGGGAGGCTGTCAGGGGCTTTCAGGCAAAAGGAAGGGGATGCAGACAGCAGCCCCAACCCCAAGCTCAGTGATGAAAGGGCCTGCCAGACACCACTTATTAGAGGAAATAAAAGCTTTCTAAATTGCAGGGAACTGACCAGGCTTTCTGGAGAAAGACACCTATGCATCAAAGAAAAACAATTCTGAAAAAGTCCCTTTGCCTGGAGGCAAGAAGCAGAATCTGAAAGTGTTGTCACAATCACCCTCCCCCTTCCCTTCAACCCCTTCACTCCCCCTTTTATTCCTTTTTCCCTTTCCAAGAGTGAAGAAGGCCCTTTTCCTGACTGCATGTCAGATAGCAGGTCTGGGTGGGACACCTGGTGGGCAGTAGGGGGATTACACCCAACTTTGGTCTCAAGTGTCACTAGGCAAGCCTGAGACCTATGAATCCTGAGATCATGCAAAATAACAAGGCAAGCAGCTCCCTGGGGTATGTGGTATCGAAGTAAACTTTAAATATAGTAGCAATTGGGTAGACACTGACCTATATTTCTGCTATGTTGAACTGTATATGGGAAGAATTAAGAATTGGTGGCTAAGAATAAATATAAATAGAATCCATAGATCAACAAATACACGCTAAGATTTGCAATACAACTCCCTCATTATTTGAAGTTAACCTAAAGTCAAATTGAAAGTAGATACTGTTCCAGAGGACTCACCAAGCTGTAAACCTGGGAGAAGTTCTCCCCAACGATAATCTATAGTGGAGAAATTCTCACCCATGAAGGTAATCAAACATTGACTGCTCAAGGCTAATACTGATTCCTTATTTGCACCCAAGTGCATTGCCCGCAGCCCAGCCAACAGTTTTGGAGTCAGGGTGTAAAATGGTTAAGAGGGAACAAATTAGATCTGGTGCCAATTTGATCTGGCCAGGGGACTTTGGGCCAGCCACTTAACCACTCTAAGACCCAATTTCCTTATCTGTCAAGGGGAAATAATGGTAATAATTACAAGTACTTACGAAGGACCAGACACTGCTTTGTGAATATTAAGCCATTTAATGCTCCCAATCACCTGATAAGGTATGACTGATACTCAAGTTTTATGAGTGATAGAACTGACACGAACGGAGAATAAGGGACTTGCCGAAGGTCACATAGTTCGTGAGCAGCCGAGATGAGATCCAAACCCAGGCTCTCCCCTATGGAGTTCACACATGGGACTGTTACTCTATCCTACCTTTTTTTAAAAATATATTTAAAAAATATCTCTCTATCCCCTTATTGATTTCAGAGAGGGGGATAGAGAGATAGAAATACCAATGATGAGAGAGAATCATTGATTGGCTGCCTCCTGCACATCCCCTACTGAGAATTGAGCTACAACTGGGACATGTGCCCTGACTAGGGATCAAACCATGACCTCCTGGTTCATAGGTCAATGCTCAACCACTGAGCCATGCTAGCAGGGCTATCTTTTAATGATGGTATCAGTATAGGTAAAATAATACATGTAAAGGGCTTTACAAGTGCTTAGTAGACTCTAAGTACTCAAAACATATTATTTAGCCCTGGCCAGTGTGG